CGTCCGCTCCCTCTGTTTAAAGTGCTCTGTCTAGTCCTCCTTCGCATTGCTGTAGTGTTCTCTGCTGTGTGTCAACCCCCATCCCCGAAAACCTCACCCCGATTCCCCTGGCTTTTCTTCCCCCAGTGTAAATATATGCAGTTAAGAGGCCTCGCTGGTGATTTCACGTCACCAACAACATCTACAGTAAGCCTTGACTATGGTCCGGTCTTCTGAAGCAGCTAGAGACTGTCCCCCCCGACAACATCATCTTCTGTTTCAAAGCTGCGACTCCGTCCTCTTCGTCGCTTGTTGATAGCATGTACTGGTTAGAGATGTTCCTGTTGTGAGTCCATACACTCCCTCCTTCCCTCCCCCTCTCCCTGCACTGTGTCTGTTTTATTCTGCAAGGTTACCTGCTTTTACTTTTTTGGTGTTAATAATACTACTGATGATGATGATGATGTTAATAAGTATTTGAATAACTATGACTAGTAATTCCATGTGAGAAAAAAAAGAGCAAAATCTGATGGTGAAGAGCTGTATGTGGGAAAAATAGTTTTTTTGTACTTGACTCACACACATTGAACAACTTCAGCTGTATAAAAAAAATAATGGTGTAAAGTTTTCGAAGTGATGTGCTCTATTTTGCCATGACAAGCTTTTTAAAAACATATTTGAAACACTGAGAGATTATTGTCATCCGAGTCCAGAAGCAGTGAAAGGTGGTGTAATTTATCATTTTCAACAGTTTGAGTATTTGACTGTCTTTGTCATGATGTTTAACTGCATCAAACCCACATTTACAGCACATTGTCCACTTGTCAGAGTGCGTCCTCTCCGACCAAGCTAGATAAATGATTTGGATCCATGTCAGTCTATGGTCGTGGCTAGAAGTCAGTTCTTGTTCTGCCAGACCACGGGGAGATAAAGATGTAATTAGCCAATACCTGTGGCTGGCTAAGTGAAGGAGCCCGGTCTCCACCTGTCCTTCCTGCCGCTCAGTTATGGCCCCCATAAATCAAGCTCAATCCTGCCACTGACAGGAATCCTCTTCAAGGACAACCTCGCCTCGGTGTGCCAGTACTCCCTCCATGTACCTGTGACATGCAGGCGTGAGCACGACAGAACCCCCATGGCACAATTATTCAGCCACTTCCCCGACACAGCACAAACAGTGGGAGGAAAGCCTGCGTTTCCACTCAGTGGCGGTCATTGCCCCCTTTGAACTCTGTTTCACTCACATGCAGTGACTATATGCAAATTTGCCATAAAAGGCCCGCATGGAGGAATGAGTTTACCCCTGGCTGAACCCTGACTTCTGCATCCTGGAGGGGGAATTACTCAACACTGAAACAAACGTTTGAATGTGTTTTATTGTTTTGAATTTTATTTCAAACCAGCAATAACCCCCTAATTCTACTGTGCAAGAGATATCAGTTAAGGTTAATGCTGTGGTGTAATATCGGAAATGACCTGCCATTAACAAGCTCATATCAAAAAAAGTCTGTTGTTGTACTTTTATCGTGTACAGTCCTCTGAAATGATTGTGAAGCTCTGTTTAAATGGCCCTCAATACTAGACTACATGTTGTACTCAAGAAGTCTGGTTCTCTGGAAAGAATTGGGGTTTTCTGTGTGACAGAGCACACATTGTGCATGTATCTTGTTGCTCCAAAAAAAAAACGAGAAAAAAAAAACGTTATGGATTCCATCTCAAGCACAATAGCAGGTCAGTGCTTCTTTTGTCTGTCTCAATCAAAATTACATGCTCTATATACCTGCCTTTTATGTAGATTTCTTTCTTTTTCACTCACATTCTGTCCTATGACAGGATTCCTCTGGGTTTTCAGTGGAGTGTAACAACTGTATGTACATAATATGTCCTCAATGAAGAAAAGAAAATACAAGATGAAAAAAACGGACTAAACGGTCACATACTGTCATGTTTGTCAGTGTGGGTTTGAAAAAAAAGCATGTGAGTTTTTGGAGTATGGATGGATTTTGAAAAAAAAAAGAAACAATCAAATATTTTTTGTGTTCAGGTTTGTGGGTAAATGGTCCGCACGGAGAGCAAACTGGGCAATGTAACTGGAAATGGTGGTTCTCGTAAGAATGTGAGCATCTGTACAGTCTGTACTGTCTAAAACATGCTGTCATGCGTTATTAGGCAGATACAGAGCTGTGCTAGTGTAAGCATTACATCTAAGCTAAAGCAAACAGAAAGACCTTAATGAAATTAGTTGTTTCTGTAGTTGAACACTGGGAACACTTTGCAGATCTTGTGCGTTGTTGTTCTGCAGATTTAGTCAACGTCAGTGCTGATTTCAAGGGGGCATATCTTCAGTCAGTAGGTGTCCATCCTGTTGCTACGGTTACTCCTTATTGAAGTTATATTAACTGATGCTGTTATGACATGATAAGAGTCCTAAGCTTTTTCACAGAGCTGTACGGGAGTCACATGTGGAGTGACAGGAAGACTGCGGAGCCTGTTGGCGAGAAGGAAGCAGGTCCCCGGAGCGCACAATTTTAGGGTAGATGAAGTTCCTGCTGTGAGAGCACCCGGTCTGACGGGCCTGTGGGAGGATACTCTGACAAAGCAAATCCAAAAACCCGAAATCCTGAGGGAGGTGGAATGACACTAACCAGACAGTGAACTCTCTGTTTAGGGGAGGAAGACAGACAGAGGCTCAAATTGCATTTCCAAACTTGAGCGCATTGGTGTTCCCTGAGGGAAGGTGTAGCACACACTATTTATGGCCGCACCACGCTATATGAATTGCATTAACATAGCCTTAATCACAAACACATTCTGGCCTACTTCAAGAGTGTAAATAACACCCCATCTGGGGTTCTGTGAGTTTACAGTGATATAAACAAAACAATTCCTCAGTCCCTAATTATATTTGGTCCACCCTGATGGGAAATTGTTGATTGGCTCCTGTAGCTGAAGGTTATGAGGATCTGTTTACTGAATCTTTGTTGATCAGGTACCATGAAAAGTGTTTCTAGCCCACCTGTTTTGAGCCAGTGTACAGAATGTTGAACTGTATTGCACTTTAAAGGCTGCACTTTTTGTTAGTTTATGTGATCTATTCTATTTACAGTTGATCAATGGGGTCTGAATTATCAGCTGCAAATTTCTTCATAATTTTTGGGTTTGTATATATTTTGTATAGTAAAATAGATTCTAGGACCTTGGATTTTAAAAGCGTCAGGGCATCTCTTCAGGATGCAAAGGCATGTACAGAACTGGGGTCATGGAGTGAAACTGCAGTTTTTTCCTTTAAAGTCAACACCGTATAAACGCAAAAGTCGACTCATTCTGATGAGGCATAAATGTATCACTTTCATTTAATAAATGTCAGCAGGCTAAAAGCGTAACCTTTCTTACACCTTTACTATATAAAACAGGACGGGACAGACTCTGAATTTAGAGCACAATGGTTAATCAATACATTCGACTGAATGGCTTTGAAATAGAGCAATTTCTCCCCAGCCCCTGAATCTGGATTGATCAAGTGTCTATAGAGCAGCCTAAGAACAGAGAGCATAATTCATCATGCCTGATACAAGACACCCCTAATTGCACATTGATTTTAAGCCCTTCTCTGAAACTATTTGGGCAAGCTGTAATGTCTGCTCAGTAAACTGTTCAGAGCCATGACTCAGATCCAGGGAATGAAGAATTAATCATGTGTTTTTCTTTTCAAGTCAATCCAAGCAAGTCTTTCTCATTTGTTTTTCTAAATAATACTCCCAATAACATTGCCTGTTAAATGTAGTAGGTTCTCTGGGTAATTTATCTGTAATGACAAAGATTTTACCTGGAGAATTTGCTGCTGCTTGGTAGGGT